AAACTGCTCCCGGGCGCGGCCACCGAGGGCCACCGCGGATGAAGGGAATTGTCCCCTTGGCATTGTCACCATCCCGGTGTCCCTGGGATCGTCACCGGCCCGAACCGGGACCTGACGTTCCCACCTCAGAATTCCTTGGGCTCTTTCCCAGTCCCTCGGCTCAAAGGTCCTTCCGTGGACGCCCGGCTTGGGAGGAGACAGAGCCTGGAGTTAGAGCTACGGAAAAAGCCGTGGATCTGTGCTTCCCGGCCTTCCCACGGAGGATTCCCACAGGGATCGGCCTGGGACTGTTCTGGAGCGGGGAATTCCCTGAGCTCGCATGGAATTGCTGGGAATTCAGGATGAATGTGGGGAGGGAGGGATTCCAGGATGATTCCCGAATGGCAGCTGATCCCACGGATCCGGAGCCGCTGGAAGGGCTGGGAGGGATCAGGAACATCAGTGTTCCCGTCCCTGTGGGACTCCGGGGCACCTCAGGGTCCCCATTCCCAGATTCCAGGACACCTCAGGGTCCCCGTTCCCAGATTCCAGGACACCTCAGGGTCCCCATTCCCAGATTCCAGGACACCCCAGGGTCCCCATTCCCAGATTCCAGGACACCTCAGTGTCCCCATTCCCAGATTCCAGGACACCTCAGTGTCCCCGTTCCCAGATTCCAGGACACCTCAGTGTCCCTGTTCCCAGATTCCGGGACACCCCAGTGTCCCCATTCCCAGATTCCGGGACACCTCAATGTCCCTGTTCCCACATTCCAGGACACCTCGGTGTCCCCTTTGGGGACTCTGGGACACCTCTGTGTCCCTGTTCCTTGTAGAAATCCAGGACCCCTCAGTGTCCCCTCTGGGGACTCTGGGTCACCTCCTCATCCCCATCCCAGCAGAATTCCAGGACACTTCAATGTCCCCATTTGGAATTCCAGATCACCTCAGTGTCCCCACCCCTGCAGAATTCCAGGGTCCCATCCCTGTGGGACTCCAGGACCCCTCAGTGTCCCCACCTGGAATTCCAGATCACCTTCTTGTCCCCATCCCTGCAGAATTCCAGGACACCTCAATGTCCCCATCTGGAATTCCAGGTCACCTCCCTGTCCCCATCCCTGCAGAATTCCAGGACACCTCAATGTCCCCATTTGGAATTCCAGGACACCTCCCTGTCCCCATCCCTGCAGAACTCCAGGACACCTCAGTGTCCCCATTTGGAATTCCAGGTCACCTCCCTGTCCCCATCCCTGTGGGATTCCAGGCCACCTCCGGCTCCCGGCAGCTCCTGAGGGACATTCAGCTGACGCTTCCCTTCTCTGGACAATTCCAGAGCCTGGAAAATGCATCCCAAACTGGGTCACTCCCTCTTACCTAACCCTGCTCCCGTTATTCCCTGAATTCACAGCAATTCCATAAAAAACCCAGGAGAGCTCGGACACTGCGGGAGAGCCGCCACCGTCATTAAAAATTCCGTTCACCGCCGACTTCCCGGGAAGCGTTTTGAGCGTTCGACATCCCAAAATTTGGGAGATGAAAGGCTGTGATGTTCCCAAAAGGGGGGGAAAAAACCGGGAACGCGGGACTCTGTGGGATGGCTGGAAGGGCTGGATTCCGGCGGGATGTGCGGGAAAACAGGAGGCTCCGGGGGTCGGATGAGGAGGGCACGGGGCCCGGAGAATTGCAGGGATTGCAGGGAAGAGAGGATGGAGAAGGGATGATCCTTAAAATCGGTGAAATTGCTCTGGGGGAAAAGCGGGAGATCGGATGGACACGGATGGGAGGGCTGGGGACGTGGAAAGGGACGTTCCGATGTCACCGGGAGCCCGAAGGATTCCCAGCCAGGATTCCCAGGGTGGGATCCCGGCAGGGCTCGTAAAAGCCCGGAATTCCCAAATTTCCGGTGCCGCTGGAGACGGGCACAGCCCCGATTCCAGAGGATTCCCGAACGCCCTCGGCTCGGGATGAGGGAGGGGACCTCGGGTGACACCTGGCCCCGCAGGGAATGACACCCCTGGATCCGCTCCCGGTATTCCCAGCTTGGATCTGCTGGGATGGACCCCAGGATGCTCCAGGACATCTTGTCCCCAAGGCCACCGCCTGAAACGTCACCTCCCGTGCCGGCGCCAGGCGTGGGGAGCAGCCGTGGCCGGGATGGTTTGGTTGGAAAAGCTTTTCCCATGGGAAAAGCTGCCCTGGATCCAGAGCTCCTGGCAGCTTACGGAGCCCCGGCAGCCACGGGTGACACCGGGTGACACCGGGTGACACCGGCTCATGGCGGCCTCTGAAAGGGCAGCACAAGACTCGGAATTTGGGGTCACTTCCTGCTGGGATTTAACATTCCCAAGGTTTTTAAGGATTTGGAAGGTTTGGGATGGTTTTAGGGTTGGGTGGGTGTGGCAGAACCAGGGTGGGGTTGGTGCCACCACGTCCTGTGTGGGAGGGGCCACCTCTGTCACCTCCTGAGTGGGACAACACCTGGAGATCCTCAGAAATGGAAAAATCCCGGAAAAACCCATCCCAGGGGCTTGGCCCGGAGTGAACACGGAGGGGGTGACCCAGGACTTGATATTGTCACCACGGCGTTGTCACCACGGTGTTGTCATTGTCACCACGGCATCGTCATTGTCACCACGGCATCGTCATTGTCACCGCGCCATCGTCATTGTCACTATGGCATTATCACCACAGCGTTGTCATTGTCACTACAGCATTGTCACCATGGCGTTGTCACCACAGTGTTGTCACCAAGGCCTTGTCATTGTCACTATGGCATTATCACCACGGCATTGTCATTGTCACTACAGCATTGTCACCACGCATTGTCACCATGGCGTTGTCATTGTCACCACGGCGTCGTCATTGTCACTATGGCACTGTCATTGTCACTACAGCATTGTTACCACACATTGTCACCATGGCGTTGTCATTGTCACCACGGCGTCGTCATTGTCACTATGGCACTGTCATTGTCACCACAGCGTTGTCAATGTCACCACAGCGTTGTCATTGTCACTACAGCATTGTTACCACACATTGTCACCATGGCGTTGTCACCACAGCATTGTCATTGTCACCACAGCATCGTCATTGTCACTATGGCACTGTCATTGTCACCACGGCATTGTCATTGTCACCACAGCATCGTCATTGTCACTATGGCACTGTCATTGTCACCACGGCATCATCATTGTCACTACAGCATTGTCACCACGGCGCTGTCACCACGGCGTTGTCATTGTCACCACGGCATCGTCATTGTCACTATGGCACTGTCACTGTCACTATGACATTGTCATTGTCACCACAGCATTGGCATTGTCGCCACGGCATCATCGTCACCGCGGCATTGTCATTGTCACTACGGTATTGTCACCACAGCATTGTCACCACAGCGTTGCCATTGTCACCACGGCATCATCGTTGTCACCACGGTATTGTCCTTGTCACCATGGCATTGTCATTGTCACTATAGTGTTGTCATTGTCACCACAACATTGTCACCACATCATCATTGTCACCACAGCCTTGTCATTGTCACTATGGCGTTGTCACTGCCACCACAGCCCTGTCATTGTTACCACAGCGTCACCATTGTCACCACGACATTGTCACTGCCACCATGGCACTGCCATTGTCACCACGGCACTATCGTTGTCACCACATCATCATCGTCATGACATCATCATTGTCACCACAGCATGGCCATTGTCACCACAACATCGTCACTGTCACCACAGCCTTGTCATTGTCACTGCATCGTCATTGTGATGACATCATCATTGTCACCACAGCATCATCACTGTCACCTCAGCATCCTCGTAGTCACCACAGCATTGTCATTGTCACCACATTGTCACTGTCCCCACAGCGCTGTCATTGTCACCACAGCATGGCCACTGTCACCACAGCACTGTCAGCACAGCATGACCATTGTCACCACAGCCCTGTCATTGTCACCACAGAGCTGTCATTGTCCCCACAGCACAGCCATTGTCACCACAGCACCATTGTCACCACAGCATGGCCACTGTCACCATGGCATTGTCATTGTCACCACAGCACTGTCATTGTCACCACAGCATCGTCACCACAGCATGGCCATTGTCACCACAGCCCTGTCATTGTCCCACCATGACATCATTGTCACTACGGCATTGCCACTGTCACTACGGCATTGTCATGACATTGTCATTGTCACCACAGCACAGCCACTCTCCCCACAGCATTGTCATTGTCACCACAGCGTTGTCATCGTCACAACATCATCACTGTCACCACGGCATCGTCATTGTCCCCACAGCACGACCATTGTCACCACAGCATTGTCACCACGGCATCATTGTCACCACAGCATGGCCACTGTCACCACAGTGCTGTCATTGTCCCCACAGTGCTGTCACTGTCCCCACAGCATTGTCACCACAAGCACTGTTATTGTCACCACAGCATGGTCATTATCACCACAGCACTGTCATTGTCACCACAGCATGGTCATTGTCACCACAGCACGGCCACTGTCCCCACAGCACGGCCACTGTCCCCACAGCGCTGTCATTGTCCCCACAGCACGGCTACTGTCACCACAGCATTGTCACCACAGCACTGTCATTGTCACCACAGCATGGTCATTGTCACCATAGCACGGCCACTGTCCCCACAGTGCTGTCACTGTCCCCACAGCACGGCCACTGTCCCCACAGCACAGCTACTGTCACCACAGCATTGTCACCACAGCACGTCATTGTCACCACAGCATGGTCATTGTCACCACAGCATGGCCACTGTCCCCACAGTGCTGTCACTGTCCCCACAGCACGACCACTGTCCCCACAGCCGTGTCACACGGGGAGAGAAGGACACGGAGCGATGGGAAAGGCGGGGCAGGGGGAGCAGCCACAACCGCGACGCGCCGGGATCCCATCCCGCCACTCCCACCCATCTTCCATCCCCTCCACCGAGCTCCCGAAGCTCTGAGATGTCCCTCAAAGCCACACCCGTGTCCCCATCCCCGCCCGGCTCTTACCGTGCGGCCACCACCGGCGACTTCTTGCCGGGATCCAGGGCGGAGCCGGCCGGTTCCTCGCCCAAGGAGCGCGTGTCCTTGTTGAGCTGCTGCAGGCGGGAGCTCAGCTCGCTGATCACAGTCGGTTTGTCCTCTTCGGCCCCGTGGCCGGGCCTGCTCTCCATGGGGTCCCCCCATAGCTTGGACCTTCTCTGAAAGAGGTAGCGTGGCCGGGCCGCGCTGGTGGCCGCCAGCGTGGCCGCGTGGTGCTGGGAGATGAGCTCGCTGTCCGAAGACTGCTTCAAAAGTGGGTCCCTGAAAGTAACCGGCCCCTTGCTGAGCTGGGACTTGAGTTTGGGCTTTGGAGGCACTGGTGGCTTCTCGAGTAGAAAAGTTTGGCCGTCGGCGAAGGACGTGTAGGTGTCGGTGGGCTCGCCGCTCTCCGAGGACAGCGTGGACATGCTGGAGACCGTGGAGATGGTGCTCGTGGTCTCCAGGTGGTGGTCGCTGGAGCTCCTGGTGTCCACCTNTCTGTGGGGGAGGGGGGATGCCGTGGCCTTCCCGGACCGTGTCCGTCATGGAGGTGCTCCGCGGGAATTTCCCGTCCAGCAAGGAGGCGGCCAGCTTCTCGTCTTCCCCTGGGGAAAGAAGGAGAAGAAGAGTCAGGGAGAGGTTGGGTGTGGCCACCCGGAAAAAGCGGAAAAGGGTGGGGTCGGGGAGGAGTTTCTGCTCTTCCCGAGGAAAACGAGGAAAAGGGCGGAGTCGGGAATGAGTTCCTTGTCTCCTCCTGGAAAAGAAGGGAAAGAGCAAAGGCGGGGATGAGTTTCTGGTTTTCCCAAGGAAAACAAGGAAAAGGATGGAGTTGGGAATGAGTTTCTGGTTTTCCCAAGGAAAACAAGGAAAAGGATGGAGTTGGGAATGAGTTTCTGGTTTTCCCAAGGAAAACAAGGAAAAGGATGGAGTTGGGAATGAGTTTCTGGTTTTCCCAAGGAAAACAATGGAGTCAGGAATGAGCTCCTTGTCTTCCCATGGAAAACAAGGAAAAAGATGAAATCAGGGATGAGTTTTTTGTCTTCCTAAGGAAAACGATGGGATCAGGGATGAGTTTCTCGTCTTCCCAAGGAAAACAAGGAAAAAAGATGGAGTCAGGAATGAGTTTCTTGTTTTCCCGAGGAAAACAATGGAGTCAGGAATGAGTTCCTGGTTTCCAGCTGGAAAATGAGGAGAGAATTAAAGTTGAAAGTTGCCTTCCCAAGGAAAACAAGGAAAAGAGCAAAGTCAGGGCTGGATTTCTGGATTCCACCTGGAAAACAACGAAAAGGATGGAGACAGGAATGAGTTTCTTGTTTTCCCAAGGAAAATGATGGAGTCAGGGATGAGTTCCTGGCTTCCAGCTGGAAAATGTGGAGAGAAGAAAAGTCGGGAATGAGTTCCTTGTCTTCCCAAGGAAATCAAGGAAAAGAGCAAAGTCAGGGATGAGTTTCTCGTCTTCCCAAGGAAAATGATGGAATCAGGGATGAGTTTCTTGCCTTCCTGAGGAAAACAAGGAAAACAATGGAATCAGGGATGAGTTCCTCATCTTCCCAAGGAAAATGGGGGGAATCAGGGATGAGTTCCTGGTTTCCAGCTGGAAAAGGAGGAGAGAAGGGAAGTCAGGGATGAATTTTTTGTCTCCACATGGAAAAGAAGGAAAAGAGCAAAGTCAGGGCTGAATTTCTGGATTCCACCTGGAAAGCAAGGAAAAAGATGGAATCAGGGATGAGTTTCTCATCTTCCCAAGGAAAACAAGGAGAAGAGTGGAGTCAGGGAAAAGTTTCCCGTCTTCCACCAGGAAAACAAGGAAAACGATGGAATCAGGGATGAGCTTCTCGTCTCCACCTGGAAAATAAGGAGAGCGGTGAAGAGGATTCCCAGATAATTCCTGGAGTGGGAAAAACTGGGAAGCAGCTGGGGTTGTTCCTCCCACCCCACTTCATTCCCAAGATTTTTTTTTCCTCTTTCCAAGCCTCTCTTGGAAAAAGCTTGGAGCAACTTCCAAGACTGGAAGAACCAGCCAGAATTCCCAGAATTCCAAGAAAAGCTGCCCTTGGATCCCTGGAAGCGTCCGAGGCCAGGCTGGAGCGCCCCGGGATAGCGGAAGTTTTCCCGTGGAAAAGCTGGGAATGGGATGAGCTTTGAGGCCACCCCAAATCCCAACCATTCCACGATTCCACGCCTGCCACATTCCCACGGGATCAGCTCCCGTGGGAATTGTCTCCACCCCTTCCCGGTGACGGAAGCGCCGCCACCGCCAACGTGCCAGACATCCGAGTGCCACCGGCACGGGCGCGGCTCCCGTCACACTTCCCGCTTTTCCCGAGGGTTGACATCTGTTCCCGGGTGCCAGACTGAGCCCGGCGGGGTCTAGCAGGAATTCCTGCTTTTTCAGGGAATTCTCCGAGGCGAGGATTAGCATGGAAAAGCAGGAAAAATCCGGGGTGGATTGGGATGAACTCAGGGCCTTCCCAACCCGAGATGTTCCACCATCCTAAAATCCGACCGCGCCGCGATTCCCTCCCTCCGTTCCCAGCTCATTCCCGAGCCCGGATCCGTCGTGCTCACCCCTCCTTTGGGAAAAATCCTCCTTCCCAATCCCCGCTCCGCTCTTCCCAAGCTTTCAAATCTCTCCAGAGAGGATTTGGGAATTTTTTTAAAATTTTATTTTATTTTAATTTTATTTTTGGCCTCCGGAGATTTTTTTTCCCCTTTAGGGAAAACGCTCTTCCAGCGGCACCGAGAGGCTCCGGCAGCTCCGCCCGGAATCCGTCAGCGATTCCACCCGAGGCGGAATCCAATGGGGACAAAAGGGAGGAATTTGGCACTGAAATTCCATCCCATGCTGTTGGTCGTGCTGGAAACTGGGCTATTTTTGGGAATCTGGGATGTGCCGTGGGAATAAAGAACCGGCAGCATGGAATAGGTTCAAAGGGAGCCTGGACAAAGCCCTGGAAAAATGGGCCTTTTCCAAGGTTTTGTTTTTTTTTTTTTGAAATCCCGGGAGCCGAGGCCAGCAGGGGGAATTTGGGAGGATGATCCCATCCTTGCCCTTTTTTTTCCCGTGGGAATTTGGGATCCTGCGCTAGATGGAGCTGTGGAATATTCCGGGAGCAGCAGGAAGATCCCAAAAAAACCAACCCCCCCCCCCCCCACCACCTCGTTCCTGCCTTTCTGGAGATTTCTGGGAATGGCCGGGAGGTGACACTGGGATATTTGGGAAGGTCCGAGCTCTGTCCCTGGGCCTGGAATATCCCAGGACATGGAATGGGAAAGCTCATCCTGGGAATGCGGTGTCCGGATGAGATGGGGCAGGAAATCGAGTGGGAAAATGGGATCTTCCCTCTGGAATTCTCTGGGCTTGGATGCCGGGTCAGGGGTGACATTGGGATATCCAGTCCATGGATTCCATCCTTGGATCCTGTCCTTGGATCACATCCATGGATCAAGTCCTTGGATCCTGTCCTTGGAGCCCATCCTTGGATCCTGTCCATGGATCCAGTTCTTGGATCCCACCCATGGATCCAGTCCTTGGATCCTGTCCCTGGATCCTGTCCTTGGATCCCATCCCTGGATCCTGTCCCTGGATCCTGTCCTTGGATCCAGCCCTTGGATCCTGTCCCTGGATCCTGTTCCTGGATCCTGTCCCTGGATCCCATCCTTTGATCCTGTCCTCGGATCCCATCCTTGGATCCAGTCCTTGGATCCAGTCCATGGATCCTGTCCTTGGATCCCAACCTTGGATTTTTTTTGAGGATTTTCTCCTCCATTTTTCCCTAAATGAGGAGGGAAAACCATGGAAAAACCACATCCCAGGAATTGCCAGAAGTAGGGAAAACCATGGGAAAACCACATCCCAGGCATTGCCAAATGTAGGGAAAACCATGGAAAAACCACATCCCAGGAATTGCCAAATGTAGGGAACACCATGGAAAAACCACATCCTGGGAATTTCCAAATACAGGGAAAACCATGGAAAAACCACATCCCGGGAATTGCCAAGGGCAGGGAATGCTATGGAAAACCAAATCCCGGGAATTGCCAGAAGCAGGGAAAACCATGGAAAAGCCAAATCCAAGGAATGCTATGGAAAACCAAATCCCAGGAACTGCCAGGTGGAAGGGACACTACGGAAAACCACATCCCAGGAATTCCGTGTCCATTCCCACCCAGCATTCCAGGCCTGGAGCAGCTGAGCCTCATCCGTGGGATCATTCCCATGGAATCATCCCTCGGTTTTCCAGCCGCTTCCCAGCCTGGAAAAGCGGGATCTGCTTATTCCCAGCACGGATGCTCCAGAGCCGAGCTTTGTTTTCCATGGAATGCTGGGGGCTGGATCCGGTGTGGAATTTTGGGATTGGGCAGCAGCTGGAGCCTGGAGATGCTCCTGGAATTCCCAAGGGAATTTGGCTTCCAAAAAGGTCCTGAAAGGATCCTCAAAGATCCCTAAAAAGGAGCAGATCCATAAGATCCGGCTCTGGGACAGAATTCCCGGAGAAGTCGTGGCTGGATCCCGGGAAGTGTCCGAGGCCAGGCTGGAGAAATCTGGGATGGAGGAATGTGCCCATGGAAGAGGTGGGAATGGGATGGGATGAAGGTCCCCAAACCATTCCAGGATTCCAGGATTCACCCCTGGATCTCAATCCCTGTTCCCTGTGTCCCAGAAAAGCGCAGGGAATCCAAACCTCCCACTTCCTGGAAAAATCCAGAATTTTGGGAGCTGCTCCAGGCTGTCGGGAGGGATGGGAGAAGTGGGAATATCCTCTGGGAAAAGTCCCAAATGTCCTCCCATTCCCAGGAATTTTCAACCCCAAATCACCAGACCATCCCTTTGCTGTTTTCCATGGAATTCCGGCTCTCCGCTCCCCTCAAACCTCACCCGGAGCCGCCGGAGACCCCCGGAACACTGGGACATCAAACCGGGATCAAATCCCGGAGCTCGGGAATAAAGAGCCGGAATCCAAACGGAGCCACCGGGAAGGACCGGTAAGAATCGACTCCCAACATCCGGAATGACTTCCCTGGGAATGGGAATGACGCTCCCGGCGTAGCCTGGCAACCCCCGGAGCCATTCCTGGCGCTCCATGGAATTCATCTCCAAGGAAAACACAAAGCTCCGTGAAAAGCTCCCCGGGCGTTGCCATAACAGCCCAAATCCCTGGAAAACCGCATTCCCTGCATTCCTTAGGGATGGAAAACGACCCCGCGCTGCTCCCCGGGGTTGGGATGAGGGAATAATCCCCCCAAAAAAATAAAAAAACCTGGAGCGGGAGGGTGAAAATTTGGGAGGGGGAAGGGGGAGGGAATCCGCATCCTGCAGAGGTTGGGAATGGGAATTCCCATCCTTTGGTGTCCAGGGCTGGGAATTTCCATTTTTTTTGTGCCCAGGGTTGGGAATTTCCAGCCTCTGGAGCCCAGGGATGGGAATCTCCATTTTTTTTTGTGTCCAGGAATGGGAATTCCCATCCTATGGTGTCCAGGGTTGGGAATTTCCATCCTTTGGTGTCCAGGGATGGGAATTTCCAGCCTCTGGAGCACAGGAATGGGAATTTCCAGCCTCTGGAGCCCAGGAATGGGAATCTCCATCCTGTGGTGTCCAGGGCTG